AGTTTGTTTGTATTTTTGTTAATAAACATAATAATAAAAAATTTTCTTTTGCAGTAAACAAAATAATAATTTGATGTAAGAGTTTTTTTTTCTTCTCAATTTGTAAAAAATCCTTATATGATAGAAAAAAATTAATATTATTTTCAAAATCTGTATAGCTGAATTATGGAAAATCCGTTATTAAAACCAAAACACTTTTTATAAAGTTTAAATTCACAGGCCTGTGTTATTAATGTCATGTCAGTCAAAAAGAAACTGATTTTACAAAGCACTTAATTTGTAAAAAAAATTTAAGTGTACTTAATAGTGCCTTCAGATTGTACAGGGGCTCACTCATCTAATGTAATGTTAGTAAATCGCATACTGGAGCATAAGAGCATGCAACAATAACAGAATATTATCCTTAGCTGGTAGTATTAGTTGATATACAAAATAAAATTTAATGGTGATAGTGTATTATAAAAAAATCAACTTGTAGTTTTTTGTGCTACATTTGTACACAACAACAGAAATTGCCACACACACACAGATATATTTGAATTTCACATTCTAATGACAGTAATATTTTGAATAAGAATTCTAATGAGAAGGACCCTTGGTACAATTTCCACAACTTTGCATTTGACAATACTAAGATTATACCTTTATCCTGATATAAGCTGGCTTAGGAGTCCCCATTTCTATAACATTTCACAGAGGGCAGGTATGAAGAATATATCTTTGTTAAACTTCTGTACAAAAAATAAGAAAATTAGATATAGAATAATAAAAACTTAGAAATAAATGTATTAAACTTACCTGTTGCCCTTATCACGAGATCTAGATCGGGACTTTCTTCGCCTGTCTTTGCTGCGGGAACGACTCCTTTTACGATCACTTCTTCTTCTGTCTCGGTCTTTGTCTAAAGAGATAGAAAAGCAGGTGACCTGAGAAAAAACAAAAAACATATCATTACAAAGCCACTACATGCGTAAAATTTGTTCTAACTAAGTGTGAACAGCATGCACACTTATTTTCACAGCATTTTGTTGTGCAGAGCTTTGAAATGAAAATTTTTAAGATCAAATAGTTAATAAGGCTAAAAAATCTAAGTATTAAAGAAGAAGCTAATACAAAAAAAAAATCAGGCTCCCAATCCTGATATTTCTTGACAAAGGGATGAGTGCTATGAATGAATATACATCACCTGTAACTGAAGATAATGCTCTGGAAATACCTTCTTCCTATGTAAGTGTAGAATTTAGACTCCTCTTCTTGTTTCTGTCCTTCTTAGAGTTTGATTATCCAGTGTTATTATAAATTATTTACAATTAACAAATTACATGAGCTGTTAGTATTCTCTAAAATAATCTTGGGTTGTAGACTCCTGTGCTTTCTTGGAAAACAAATGTAAAACCATAAAAATTGAATAAGTACTTGATTGATCCATCATTCAATGGACTATTCAGAATACCTACTACAAAAACATTATCGTTTTTACTTCACATTTCATAGAAATCTGTTCCATTGTAAGTCTAAATGTCCTGTAAAAAAACATTTAAATAATTAGAACTATTAATTATAGTGCTACTTTGAGCATAATACAAATTTAAAAGTTCAAAATACTCACTTTGTACCACTGAAACTACTTACCTGCTCAAAAAAAACAAAAAAACTCGTTTATTTCTCTGTGCATCAGGCCTGGTTTCAACAAAAGATAGTCCAATCGTTATACACAGATGATTTATAAAGATAAGCGTGACAGCGACATAAAAGTCTTGAATAATACTAGATCATACACAGATAGAACCATGTCAACAGAGCAGATATCACGAATTATAAACAATTCGTGTGTAGATGCCTGTGACAGTAATGAAGAAGTAACTATTTTATAGATAGTTTTTATTACGAGCACAAAGAAACAAACATTAAGACTAGTGGAAGAACAATGCAGATGTTAAGTAAGAAGCATCTAAGAAAGAAGAAATTTTCTGAAGTCATATATACCACTGTCATTTTGTAAGACCACACGACTTTCTTAAACAACAGATTCGCACAATTTTTTTTACCTACGTGGCATCTAAACTCTCATAACAATAAATGGTCATAAAATCAAGGGGGTGACCAAGAAAAGAAGACAAATGGGTTGTACATAAAGACTAGATTTGTAAATTATGCTGGTTCTAAAAGGTGAAACCTGTTCAATAGTACAACTGTATTTACATTTACTGTATATTATAACTAATCCCTACAGATATCATGGTAAAAATAATCAATTTATTTTTAGTACTTGTGAAATTTGAAAGTCCTAGTAATACAGATTAAAGTATGAAATCGATGGCACCCCAGAATTTATGATACTCTGTAATCTTGGTTGCATCGTCAGTTGCCAAGATGACTTGAAGTTTTATTGTTTGTATACTTTCAGCTCAGCATTTATTTAGTTTTTTTTTTTCTTGGAGGCAGGTCTAACTCTCTTATCACACTTATATTCATCCAAGTTAGAATTATTTTGGTTTTTGAATCGGCAGGGTGTTTGATCTGATGTATCACTCCTGGTGAAAATAGTAATTTAATTACTGGATAGTGTTTGTCACCAGCTTAACTGTATCACGATCAGTGAGCAACTTTCAAGTGAGATGTGCACAACTACCTATCAACTTTCAAAATTTAACCTTCTCAGTGCGTAATTAAATTTTGGGTGGGTTCTTGAAAAATGTCAATTATCCACTAAAAAATGAAATTTAGAATTTGACCTTTTTTATAGTACTTTCTCAAAATCAAAATCCACTAATTGCACTTTTGCTCAATGAGGTATGCACATGTGGACAAAGTTGGGAAATTCAAGGACGTGCGAGTATCCTGATTGTTGCACTACGATGAAAATTTTTTGTGATACTGTGAGGTAAATCTGCTTATCGCACCAAACGGTTATAAATGTCAAGTCAGATAAATCCAATTATAGCATCCAAAGTGTTAAGTAAAAGTAATAATTCTAACTCTGTTACAACAGTTTTTAACTCAGAAACATACTAGAATTGATATTTTTATCATTTTATATTTATTTTTTAGAGTACTTCACAGAAATTTTCATAATTGTGTACCTTCAATGAACTTTGCAGGCAAGTATTACACATTTATGTAGATTAATAAAAGTAGCCAGAGTAGTAATTTGTGGTTTCTTGAGATAAAAATAGCTACCCAGATCTTTCGTACAGGAGTCTAATGGAAACTTTAGGACACTTGGGAACAAATCTCAGATATGGGAATATTTTAAACTTTTCTTTAAGATCTTCTTTCATTTATGAAAATTTTTTGTCTTAAATTACATCTGTTTAAAAGCTATAGAAATTTTCAGTGATAAGACATCAGGTAAACTTAGTTAGGCTTAGCGAGTATAACAAAGGTAATAGTAACACCACTTTGAATAATAAGATCCTAAAATGTTTGTCAATTTTTGCAGTCTTTTTTATGGTTTATAGTTTCAAGTGCTAAGTATCAGCAAAATAAGATATCCAAAAAGAAGTTAATGAATATCAATTAACTTGAAATTGACCGTACATATAAAGTGGAACTTGCTAATCACCTATAAATAAAATTAAAATTCTAAGTCAAAGAGAAGTATTTTCAAAGTTTCAAAACAAAATGTGTCGAAACAAAATTTTGGACATTTCACAACCTAAAATGACAAATACTAAATCACATTAATATCATCTAAGCAAAACTAGATACTACATGGTAAATTTGTACAAAGTTTCATGCAACAATTTAAACTGATCATGCATAGAATGAACAATGTTTGATCAATCTTTCACTCATCTCAAACATATTCATATTACACACACACACATTATATATATATATACTGTACAAACACCAAACATTTGAAAGTACATTAAGCAAAAGAAAATATACAAAAAACAAGTAAATAAATGTTATATTTCCATAAGAAAACATTTTTTAAAGAATTACAGTTCTATGAATCATAATTATTTTATTTTAGTACATTCTTTGTTTGTTTTAGCACAAAGCTATACAATGATTTGTACTTACTGCAGAGCTTACAACTGAGACACCAGGGTACAAGTGCAATACGAAGCACGTTATTATAAACTGTACAGCTAGTAAACTATGACCTGGTATATTTTGTTTGTTAAAATTCTATCAATATCTACATTAAAGTTTAAGCTATGAAACAATTCCTTAGACCAATAACATTTAAGTTGTAAGTTGAAGTGGTATTTAAAGCACTTTCTTCTTTGCTCTTAGCTACCTTTACATATTTCTGAATTTGTAATATTCATACTGATGTACATTGCAATGTAGTTTGAGGTAAATAACTGTAAAATAAAATTTTTGCTCATATATATGTTATGTAATCTAGGGCTCTTCATTGTAGTTGTTAGGTTATTTTGAGAATATTTGTAGAGCAAGAGTTTTTTATTAATACTTTTAAAAACTTGTATGAAAAGTTAGCAAATACTATGGTATATTTACATTTTAATCTAGATTTTATCAATTTGCATTTGGTAGAGGCTGCACTGAGTGTAGTTTTTTTATTTCTGTGCACTAAAAATCTAAGTCATCTTACATTTTGTGCTGTGGTAATTTTTATTGTTTGTTTATATTATGTAGACATATTAAGGTTTTCAGGCAAATGGCTCTTCATTTTCTGTTCTTAAAAATGTAACAACACAACTTATTCAAACTAGACTATTTTAAGCCACCAAGATATTTGTTTTAACTTTAGCTTTAAAACTTACCTCGATCGAAATCTCTTTCTTCTCCCATTTTCAGTCAATTCCACTCTGCTTTTTTTTTCAATATTAGTGTTTAATGTGATAAAATACTCTTAGGTCAGTAATGTTCAATCTACAAAAACAAATTTTTATGAAATAAAGATAAATTCTTCCTATCAAAAAAATTTTTACATTATGACTTAATAACACATTCTAATTACTAGTATCACATAAAATCTTTATCATATTTTTGTCCTTAAACCTTTTTATTCAGTTCTGGTTCTTTCAGAAAATAAATACAAAGGACACCAACATACTGTGAAAAGTAGAGAGAAAGGATACTAAAATGACACATTACAAAGTTTACAGAAGGAGAAATAGCTTTTCTTTTTTCTCTTTCAAGGATAGAATTATGGGTAATTAAATAAGCAGGCAGTAAGAATAAAGGGTAGAATTATGGGTAATTAAATATGTAGGCAGTAAGAATAAAGGGTAGAATTATGGGTAATTAAATATGTAGGCAGTAAGAATAAAGGGT